CCAAACTGTTGGGCCCACCACTTGATATTGTAGTGCCTGATTAATTTTGACAACAGTGTAACATCTTTTTGAAAAATAGATGGCTTTCATTTAAATTCATGTACTAAGCAAATCAACTTGCAATAACTGTGGAAACAGAGACTCTCACTTCAGAACAGCTGATTATGGAGCTTGACAACTCAACCTCTGATATAGTCTGTACTGTAATCATATGACAACTGTGAACTAACCATAAGTAATCACAGTTGTCTTATCACAACAAACTGCTTTTCCAGTTATTCTATTGAACAGTGCATTGAGCCTGACAAGTGTTGCACACTTTGTCTGCCATGTCTCTGTATTTAGCATTTTGTGATTGTTCTTTTAGGAATGTTTGGTTGCTGCCCTGGAATGTATGACTCAGACAACAGTTACAATAGCGATGATGATGACGATGATGATGATGACGATGAAGTCGATGACGAAATTCTTCAAAGTATAGCACGCAGTTTTAGGAAAAAATATGAGAGGAAACCTTCAGAAAAAGGTGCCATAGCTGACATATTTCCACTTTCTATATTTGTGTTGGAAGGCAGATCTGTTTATGAACTTATCCAATAACAGTGATTTTTATTATCATCATTATTATTGTCAAGTGGTTACACCTTGTACAGCCTTAACTTTCTTTCAGTTATGTGATCTTTGCTTGAGTGTATTGTTAATGTAAATTATTTGTCTTCAGTTGGCCGACCAGCACATAACTTATCAGAGGCGGTGAGTTAATTATGGCAGTCACTGTTTCTTTGCTTTGACTTTGCTTTCTTATTGATCAGTTAAAGTTTGATGCTTCTTCCCAAACCTGGCCAAAATCAATACCCTGTTTCAGACCTGTCTCATATTAGCAATTATAGTAATAATTGGACCTGGTGGAGTGCAATTAAGGGAGTAATTGTCCAAGTAATTTCAGATTCAGACAAGCACGAAGTACGAGGCTGATTTGAAGTTACGAGCACAATTACTCCCTGAAATGTGTAACACAAGGTCCAATTACTAATTAATTGGATCTATAACAAAGTTCAGAATTGAAAATGTCTTTTGAGAACTTCTTTTGAGCGAAAACGTCTGTTGCGCTTCTCATAAGGTTTAAAAACTGTAGGAAACATCGTGAAGGAAGCCATTAAAGTGCACGTAATTGATGTGCGAATCACGTGGGTATCCAATTACAGGTATCCAATTACAAAAAATTCAAAGTGGATACCTGTAATTAGACATCCATGTGATTGCGCGCCAATTACGTGACCAATAGGCACACCAAGAACCAATCACGATCAAGAATTTTGTCATAGATACAAGTAGTTACCTACATGTAGTTCAGACCAATGTTAAAGGCATTGTGTAGGGCTTTAGTTGGTGGTCTTAATGATAATGACAAAAAAGTAGCCTGTTCTAAAAAAAAATACAAATTCAACACAAGAGTGCAAAAACCATAGTACCCTACTTGAGACCAAAAGGACCAAAATCGATACCCTATTCATGACCAAACAGGCTAAAAAAGCATTATGATACCCCTTGGGGCTACACATACCAACTGTATATACCCTATATAAGGGAGTGTACCTCATCCCCCAATACATCGATTAGAGAATGAGGTTACTTAATATCTACCTCCTTTCAGATTCTTTTAAAAGTGCTCTTATTTAGTGTACAGTCATGTAAATTTGGAGTGAGAGTGGAGGTCTTCACTGTTTCTTTTAATTAGTTGCCACAGTATATGAAACACTGCCCCTCTTGAACAGGCATGCATCAATTCTCCTTTTATTAATATGTGTAGTCAATGGCCACCTATTGTCCTTTATAATCTGCAGGAAGCTATGAAAAATGCTAAAGAACTTATAGAGGAAGAAGAAAGAGATCGGAAAAAAGCAGAAAAGAGGAGAGCAAAAAAGAAGGTGTGATTTTCACTTGACACTTTACTACCCAGGAATTATTGGTATCCACACGGCAGATCTGTATTCCTTTTAATCTCTTTGGCAGTGTAAAACAAAACTTGAAGAAATGATTATTAAGAATTATGTATGAATAATTCTATCAATATACTATCAATGCACTGCCAAACAGAACAATGACGAGAATAAAGAAGATCATCAACTGTGGGATTCATTTTTGATGTGCCACTAAATTCTCAGCACTAGTCACACTGTAACATCATAAGAAATGTGTTTCAATCAGGAGAATTGACAGGCAAAGTACCAGAAAAACCAAATTTGTTCCTTGTTGCTTCATTCTTTGGTCTCTGTAGTCAAATACCAGCTGGAGTGCAACATGTACATCATGGAGTTGACTAGCAGTTGATTATCTCTGAGCATGTCATCTGGTTTATATACCTGTAAACCACTGTAAAGGCAGATGAAATGGTTGTAGGCATGGCCATACAGAAGCACATTATTTTTTAGACTTCTGACTAGTAGACTTCTTTCCTGAGCAGCCATTATACCATACATGTAGTCCTGGTCAAGGTCATGCATACACACACTGGATTTTTAACCTGTAATCAAAAGTAAGGTCTCGTACAGCGTATGCGTGTAAATTGTACAATTGTGAGTAGAAGGTCACTGTGGTCTCTTATTACATGGCTATTTCAGTGAGTATGCAAAATGAACCAAATCCTGTGCTGTGAATGGCTACCCAAGCAGGCAAGGTGGCACTATCTTGCCCACTGAGGATTACCCGCTGTGTCCTGCAAATAATGATCAATTTTTTAGTTTTGGTTGTCCCATATTAATAATAAATCTGTTATTGACTAAGCTTGATCAGTTAGGATGGCTAGATATTAGCCTCTTACCTTTTTTGCATCTTTATTGACCTTGATTTTGTCTTTGTTCCATAAACATGCAAAAAAAACAGAATGATATGTAATGTAAGATGATCTCATTCTTGGTCAATAACCCATATTCAGTGTGTGTATATGAGAGTTTTGACTGACAATTGATACATCCCTTTTGTGACAGAGAAACAAAGAACGAAAGAGAGAAAAAGAACGGGAGAAGAAAGGAAAAGATGAAAAAGAAAATATACAGGTACACAGTCAATTCTTTTGTACACAACCACATGTACATATTGTATGTGCCCATTTAATATGTAAGAGATGTTCTTTGCATAAAAATAAAAATTAATGTGTATGTCTGTTTCTTCCTTTCAGCAAAAGAATAATAATAAAAAAGAAAATATTCCTGCTAGTAGTAAAGTGCCAGTAAAAGATGTGGATAAAAAACGAAATACAACAAGTAAAACTGTAAATAACAATACAAAACTATCAAATGGTCTTAAAGAACAGTTTTTGAATAACAACACAAATTTACAACAGTCAGGAAAAACAGAACAAAGTTCATCTAAAAGGTAAGCTGAGTGCATCAACTTTAAACCATTACTTGTGATCAATGTTTAGTTCACATGTTCACATGTTCGTGTCTTACTGTGACATAACCAGTATCGTAGTTTGTACATCAAATTTTGTGGGCATGATACATGTAGCTGTATAATACAGGCCTCCAGAAAAGTTGCTTTCAAATTCTTAGGACATGTGCTCTTTGATTTTCCTGTTTGGCTTGTATTCTCTTACCCAATGGGTTAGGACCCAGGCAAGTAGAATTATATTGTATCAATTGAACTACGTCAAAAGAAGTAAACTAATATTAAGCAAACATGTAACTGTAACTACTCGGGGCAAGCAAAGTTTGAGAGTTGCTTATAACAAAGAACAAGCTGAAATTCAAGCCCTCAAATACTACCATTAATGAATTTTTTTGTCCAGTTATACTGTCTAACAGTGGTTTTTTAAAAGTACAGTCTGCTGATAAAAGAATATTTAACGCTCACAGTTTACATGTACATTGTATGTTCTTAAAATGACAGCATTATTGAAATCTTCTGGCCTTTACTGCAACATACTGCTGTCCATAATTTCAAGTAAATGTATTTTGCCATGATTATGCTTTGGCAGATGGTGTAGTACAAGGGAAGATATCAATGTTATAGGAATTTCCACTTGTATATTACATCATTCGGCCAAAATTTAATACTTTTGTGCAGGCACAGTCTGGCTGAAATTATACAAACACAATCAGAGATATCACGTGTTTTTGAACTTACCACTACCACTAAACTATAGTTGGGTTTAACTATTAATTGCACAATTTTTACGCAGGCGTGAAGATGAGGATTTGTCAGGTGGAGAGGTTAGACAATGCAAAATGCTGTGTACTTGACATATTGCAAAGTTTAGATGTACAAATCTTCAGGATTGGTTATCTGGCCAAAGACTGTTTGCTGATAGAGCATCATCTGGTGCATAAAATTCATCCCCTTAAAAGGAAGTAATTTGAATGTCTTTTTTGCTAAAAATTAACCCACATGTACAGTGAACAGTGTTCATGTAAGGCGTTGACTGCTGTCCTTTACCCTGTCTACGTTAACAATGGAACTAATAAAGCTTGTTTTCCAAATTGGTCACACCCCAGAAACTTAGTTTTGTTGTACATGTGCCATCATGAAACATGGTCCTGCACTACCCTTAAGGAATGCACCCCAAAAATATCCAATTATATAATTATACTTGAAACTTGCCTGGGTGAATGGGCAAGTGCTAATTTCTATTACCATTTAAAGTTTTTTTTTCTTCCCCAGGAGCCCACATGGGATACATCCAGCGCTTTCTTTGCAAGAGCTGCTGGTCGTAATCCAGCGTCAGCTCCAACCACCAGCTCTACGACAGTTAAAAATAATACGCCTGTTACTACCAGTCAGAGTTCACAGTCTAATGTAAAAAACAGCTCCAGTCAACAGGCATCGACAGAACAGATAGATCCTGTAATACTACGTAGCAGACAAGTAGCAGGTTGGTACCTATGAGGCTCTTACGATCGTTGTGACTGAATAAAATTTGTTATTAAAAGTAGAGTTAAATGAGCAAAATTGCAAGTTTCCTAAAGTCCTCCCTGGCCAAGTAGAGTTGTAATGTAACAATTGTTTTATCCAAGATTTCCTGTTACATTTATTGCCAGACCAATCTTGGACTGCCATCGAAACAATCCGCATTCAGAAGGTGGATCATTCAGATTGGAAACCAAAGCTGGTTTTAGATTCTCATTTGTTCCAGGTTATATCATGAACTTTCAAACAATCTGCATCAATTAAATCCGAAACTGGATTTGTTTAAAGGAATGCTTCATGTAGTTAGTTTCCTTCCTGTGTTTTCTTATGCTTGTGTAACTTGCATACACTTTGAGCACAATAAAATTCAGACACATGGCTTTTATGGGAGTTTGTCTGCATGTTAAGTTACATGTATACCTTGGAGTTATTGTGTGAATTCAATTGACTACCCATTACATACATGTATCTGTTGGCTAGTTTGCTCTTCCCTCGCAAGTTCACTCTCTTCACCTACATGTAGGAAATAATTACTGAGACTTTATTTATAGAAAGGGAAATTATTACCCGCAGAAACAACTGACAAAGTCCTGTGAGGATAATAAACAAAAATTTGAAGTTTCCAGGACAACATTACAAGCATTATGTAATTTTTTTCATGATTACAGAATGACTACTTGAAATTTCTGAAATTGAAAGCTCTGTCAAATTATTGTCTCGTTCACAGTAAAAGGAAATGAGATGGCCAACCTTGGTAACTATCAGGCCGCTGTTGACTTGTTCACTCAAGCTATCAAGCTGGATGCAAAAGACTTCAGGTTTGTTTGTTACTCTTGTAGTCTCTCTCCAATATTGCAAGCCCTACATGTACAAGCACAAATATCCAGGGAAGGGGCCCGGGGGATGGAAACCTACTGGTGATAGATAGTAGCATCTGGAAAAGTGACTTTCAGAATATTGCATGAAGCAATCTTGTTATATGGAGTGAGTGGGCGAGATGAACCAAACCCTTCTCTGTGATTGGCTACCAGAGCAGGCAAGATGGCGCAATCTAGCCCACTCAGGGCTATCCGCTGTGTCCCGCAAGAGACATTTCCTCCAAAGCTACATAATACATGTAAATCCTTTATTGACCAAGCTTATGTGGTCAAGATGCAAGTTTACGGACCTGGACTCCATGTCAGTCCATAAACATGACCAATATCTGCCCATCTTGACCTCATGCTTGATCAATAACTAAGACTCATTAGGGTGAGGTGGCAATTTCTTCCCTGAATGTCATATGGCAAGTAAGAAATAAATTTGTCCAAAGCCTTATTAGACAAATCTCACTTTTCTTTATCAGTCATGAAAATGAAAATTGCCGTTTTCTTTCCAGATTTTTTGGGAACCGTTCATACTGTTTTGATCGAATGGGTCAATATGAAAAAGCTCTTCAGGATGCTGATGTGGCTATCTCACTCGCACCTGATTGGCCCAAAGGATACTTTAGAAGAGGAAGGGCCCTGGCGGGATTAAAGGTGCTTTGTACTGCGATCTACATGTAATGAGCTGACTATGAAAATAAGAAAGTTAAAAGAGTCCATCTTCTGTGCAAAAAATATCAGTGTTCATTCTTGCACGTTATTCTTTTATATGGCTAATTTTGTCAGGAAATATAATGCTCCCTCTGAATTATGGCTTATTTCATATATACCAGTAACAGGACTTTCTCTTAACAATAAATTTAAAAATTAATGTCCATTTGTGGTAAATGTATCGGCTTACAGTAACAACACAAATGCATTTTGAATATACTGTAGTTAAAATGTCTTCAGATCTACATGTATTGGGAAATTTGAATCTTAGGCATTGCCTTTTTCATCTCCAAGTGGATGTCCTTGTTTTTTTTTTGTTTTTTGTTTTTTGTTTTGAGAATTGTTTAGAATTCTAGCAGAATTGACAGGCAATTTTTCTGGGGAAAAATTCTTTGACTACCCTTTGAAAACCCTTATAAGCATTGTTAAGAGAATTCATAGAAAATCGTTGGAAACCTTACATAAGTATTGAGTTGCTGGCAGTACAGTCGAACCTCGATTATCCGGACTTGTTGGGACCTTGGTAAATAGTCCGGATAATCTAGAGTCCGGATAATCGAAAACATGAATATTAATGAGATAGAAATGTAAACAAAAGGTATACAGCAAAGAAAACATCATTTTAATTGTGAAACCTACACAGCCTGTAGGTATTTACAAATAAAAACTTTCAGTTCAGGTATTTACAAAGGTCTAAAATGTTCAAGCATGTTTGTTTGCTTCAAAGACTTGTAGCTTGATCGCATTGC